TGTGCTCATACCTGAGTCAGTGAAGTGAATCCCAGAGGTCCTTATTCCCCAAATTCCAATTGTGTGGTTTTTTTCTGACCTTTTGTGCACAATAGTAAGTCGCATATTATTAGAGTCCAATTTAGTTGAAGTTGTGTAAATATATGCCCTAAAGCTATAGGGGCAGGGGAAGTAACACCATTGATTCTGATTAATATCTTGACTTGTTTCATGACATAAAGAAGAGGAGACAGTGATCATAGAACTGTCACATGTCAGTATTGCTTTGTGTTTATGTAGCACCTGTTTGTCTGACAATCTCAAAGTGCTTTCAAAATTTGACTAGCTGATATACAGGCACAACTTCACTGTCTCCTGGGATCAAAAGTAGCAGCTGTTTAGCAATATACAGCAGCACTACTCAACGGGCTGGTGCAGGACATGAAACAGAATCCTGTATCCAGGTTATACCGCAGGGGTATTTAGGCTGACAGAATATAATTATCCAACTCCGAATTTTGCCTGACAGCTGGAAGTAACACCCCAGTTCTGAGAGAAGTTTGGGACCTGTAGTGGGGGAAAAATAGCAAGTGATTTGCTAGTATTGCATCTCATCATAAACATTGTCATCTTTACCTTCCTTACAAACACCACACTAGGCCACTGGTTCAACACTAATAAGAAGATGAAGTATCACCTTCTGCCTGTTGTCACCTCTGCCTTTAGCATCAACAAGGTATTTCTTGATAGTCCTTCCTCCAGTACAGGCCCATCTCTCTCTGTCTAGACTGGGAGATCTGATAATCGCACACTGTAAGATGGAGTAGCCCACAGGAAAGCACAGAAAAACATGTTTGGTTTTCTCACAGTGGACATATTAAAGAGGGAGGTTGTCTCCAGGTATTTATTTTTAAATAATTTAAAATTATTTATTTAAATTTTTATTTGAATATTTTATATGTAAATAAAATATTTTTAAATGCTTATTTTTAAACTTGCCAAACTTAATTTGCATTTCCTTACAAATCTTAAAGGTTTGCAGAATTCTTCCCCTTGTAAAATATAACATACTTTAAATGTAGTAACAATAGAACCTTTTTTGTAAATCTCTTACACAACACAGTTCATTGACAATTCCTGGTTCCTTGCTGTGGGTAGTAATAACTGGTGGCTGGTTTACGCCCTCTTAGGAACCTAAGGTCTCAGAGTGACAATGCAAAAATGAAAGTGTTCATTATTTCCTTCACGTTTTCCAAGTTTTGCAGTGCTGTTAAGTAGAAACCTTGGACAGAAAGGAAACCAGTCATGCCAGATAACTCTAACAGTTAATTATAAACACGATTTTTTAGGTCTTTAATTTATGGTTGTCAGCTGGACCATCTTTAAGCTAAATAGTTTATGTGAAAATTGGTGCATGTGTATGCATGTTTTTAATTTGCAGTATTAGACTATAGTATTTTTTGCCTCCACCAAGTTAAAGCTAGTAAAAAAAAAAAAAAAAAAGATTCACCTGCTGACCTACTTGTAATAAAATGAGGACATCAGCTGAGAGGTGCTCTGTGCATTTGCAGTGGGAAGCTGAGCCAACTCTCAGTGATTGCTGCTGATTTTGTTTCTATAAAACAATAAGGCACATTCCTACTTCCATTGCCAGATTTAGTTTGTTAGTTATTTTTATAGCCAAATTGGCCAGTGGGGAGAGCGTTTATGCTGTAGGAGTGTATTGTCTTTGACAGAACATTCAAAATGCAGAAGTAGCAAAACTGATTGACATGATGTCTGCTCACCTAGCTAAAAGATAGCAATTTTGTTGATGTTATCCAGTCTCCAGCTTTTGCAGCAAGCCCAAGTGCAAAACTGGCAAATACCAATGTTCACCAATTCCCTAAATTAAGGCCAGGTCACTCAGCTCATCTCCTGTTTCTTGTTTGCTTTTGAATGAATCCCAAAGTAGTGCTAACAGCTGGAAGCCCTGCTGAGGCCAGCTTGATCTACCCTGGAGCTGCTCCAGCCAGCACTCTGATAAAACTTGATATAATTTCAACAGGCTCTAGGATGACCTCAATGATTTCCCTTCATTGTTTAAGGTTTCATTCAAATATTACCAGTGCCAGGAAAAAGGATATTTCATTTCTGCTTTTTTGCTTCAGAGTCTGCTATAACTGGAAATTAGTCTTTAACAGTATAGGTAACATAATCAGTGCCTGGTAATTGTTCTCCTCTTTTATCTCTCAGGATACTGTGCGTCTCAAGTGTCAAAATGAAAATGTATTGGTGCTTGCTTAAAATAAAAGCATGTTTTTTGTCAGAGTATATTATTTGAGGGAGCCTGAGAAGGCCCTGACTCATGGTTATAGATTTAAATCCTAGTCAGGTACCTGACTAGGATTGAAATCTATATTTCAATCCTAGTCAGGATTGATTTATATTTTGAGTTTTTGAACCTTAATGTACCTTCTAGCGAGAGCTTTCCTTTGCCTTCCAGAACCACAATGTTGTCTTAACCCCTTCTTTTCAAGCCAGTTTTCAATCAAAGAGTCTTATTTCCATAAGGTACAAAAGATGGTGTTAATCTTTCCCCTAGCAAGGTAGACTTTGCTCCTATAGATGTCTATCCTATAGATACAGTGGTCCAGGGGGATCTTGTTCCAGTCTGGGCCTGCTCTACACTACATCATGTTGCTGCCAGAACTCAAGTCCAGACTCAAGCTGCTCTGTCACCACAGTACCCTTTCTTTTTTGCTAACAGAGTATAGCGTAGAAATAATTTAAAGATGCTCCCTAAGTAGGACACTGAGGAAGTTGGTAATTGGTGCTAGGAACAGACATTCAAAAAGCCTGTGGCCGAACCAATCTAAGTTGCACGGTTTTCTGTAAGCAGCATGGTTTAATCAGTAGCAAACACCCCTCCTCCCCCTTCTAGTTGGGGAGCAAAACTTAGACCAGGTTCTGCCATTTTTAAACCAGTTTTGTTTGCCAAACTTCTGTTATAGGTATAGACTGGTTTCTCATCACTTACACTGGTCAGTAAAAGTGTAATGTCTGTACTTGGCCTGGGAGATGGTCCTTCAGTTTAACTAGTAAATCAGGCAGAACAAGGAACTGCAGAGGTTGCTTGTTGCTTCTCAATAAAGTTCATTATTGTTGGTGCTTCTCATTCATTGATAACTATGTATTGAAACTGTTGATCACTATGCAGAGTAGTACTACTGCTTTGAGAGGTGGCACAAGCCTTATTGGCTCAGCAGCTTCACACCTTTTACCATTTTGATAGTGGCTTGATAGCAACTTTTACCAACAGCATTTGGTGCTTTTCCCAGGATACACTTGGCACTCTTGACACAGCTGATGAAGTTGAATTGCACAGAGCCTCCAAAAGGCACTCAGCTATACATGTGTTCTGACTGCTACCTTGTGGGGGAGTGTAAGGTATTGACCACCTCTTGAGACTCTTTAGTTTGTACGGTTGGCCGGAGGGGTCAGAAGGGGAAAGCAGATTCTAAAATGGTTCCTGTAATGACTTGATACAAGCAACAGGTGCCATTCTCCCTGGATTTAAATGTAAGGAGAGGAAACAAGAAAGAGAGTGAATTATTGTAGTGTTTAAAATTTAAAACTGTATTCGTGCAGCTGCATGTCGCAGCTGTTTGCATAAACGGCACACCCTTGTGGAAACAGACCATTGGCCTAAATAACAACAAATCGGAGACATTTGTTGTACAGCTTGATAGCAACTTTTGTTTCTGGTAGGCATGTCTGCACAACAATATGATGGTGTACTCGTAGCTTGGGCTGGCACACTTCTGCAGCTTAATGTTACTGAGTAGTTATGGTGGAGATATGGCAATGCGGCTAGTAACTAGACTATGTGCATCCAGGGATTTTGCATATTTACACTGCTCACTAGCATGTGCTATTGTTCGTGCTCCCCCATCTTCACTGCTATTATTACTAGCTCTACCTAGATTAAGGATGTTATCTGTGCACCTTCAGTATTATAAGCGATTGGGGTGGGGGATTTAGGGGGAGGGAGAACGCTAATAGAAACAGCCCAAATGGACTGTCACTACTGCCCCTCTGCAGGTTCAAACTAGTGTCTTAGAGAGATTGGGTAGCCCATCAACAATGTATTGACTCATCCAGCTCCCCTTGTCTACTGATAGAATTTTACTGGTGTGACCTGAGGTTAATGTGCATGTGCTGTGAAGAAGCTCTTTTAAGTGCTTGGCAGCCATTCTCCCTTGTTATCTCCTGTCTTGTGGTTTGGAGTAATTTATATTTGGTTTTCTGTTGATCTATCTTGCCATTAAAGATGAAATTAAAGAAATTGTGAAATAAATGGTCATGTTGGCAGGTTTGAAGATGATCAAAGAAAGCAGTGTGCTTTTGAAAAAAATGCTGGTTGCTTCTGTGGCTCAGTCTGTGAGATCAAACAAGTACTGCCTTGTGCAAACACAGCATGAAAGATTTGCAGGTTTCTGCGGATTTTGCTTCATGGCTCCCCTACTTCCTGGCAAACCTGAATTTTCAATAGAATAAGGTGTTCAGGCAAGAGACAAATGTAGTAGAAATTTGGAGGATGGGGTAAGGCATAACTTCTGTATTTTGAGATTGTCTGCTTTCACTATGACCTGCTACTGTAGTTTTATAATGATTGAGAGTAGCCTTAAAGATCCTAGCAAACCTGTATCAAAACTCTCTCTTGAACACCAAGCAGCAGTTGAAAGTTACCTGGCTTGAAAATTTAATAGTACACTTGTGCTTTTCCATAGTCAAAATTTTCTCTTCTTTTAGTCTGTGCGCTTTTAAACATTGTCAGCATTACATGTATAGGATTTAATACAGGATTATTTAGGGAAAGAAACTTGTGTGAAAATTCTTCTTGAATTGACTAGACTCTTTGGATCTATGGTCTGAAAAATTTCAAATCTAGATTCAAATCAGGTTAACAGCAAAGTTTTAAAAATAAAACAAAGGCGTTGGAAAATGTAGCTGACAGATATTTCTATTTTTTCATTTAGGCTATGGTAGCCTGCTACCCCGGGAATGGAACTGGGTATGTTCGTCATGTGGACAACCCAAATGGTGATGGGCGCTGTATCACTTGCATATACTACCTGAATAAAAACTGGGACTCGAAGGTATGTGGACCAATGGGGGTGGAACTCCAGAAACAGCCTGTCATAGCCATCAGTTATTTTTTTACACTTAATGCTAATAACTTTGAACTCTTGAACCACTAGTTAAAAGGACTATGCCTTATTGTTTATGTTTATTTTCATGCTGTTTATAGCAACCCTTTGGAAGCCTGAAATATATTTTTGCTTTGGCTCTTTTTCCTTCTATCCCACACACATACTTGTGTGCTGTTGTAGAATTTCTCATAAGTAGCAAGGTGCTACTATCTACATTTAGTGAAAAGAGTAATGAAGTACTAGAAGCCACACTCGCTAAAGAGCAAACGGATAAGACCAGCTCCAGTTTTAACAAACATGATAGTCATGTTTTGGGCCCATTATCCTTTGGAGTGACCTACCACAAAGGATCTGTTAAAGAAACAAAAAATAGTGCCCATCTTCCCCCTTCTGTGATGTAAAAAAAGGGCACAACATTTTTTTGAATAGCTTTTTACTCTAGAAATATCGGGGATGTGGAGTCTTTGTTTTTTCATGACTTTGCTGGAAATCTGGGAGGTGGCAGACATTTTATATGATCTCTCGCACTTCTGCAACCGTAAGACAGGCATCCCAGGACTGATTCCCAATTGCACTAAACTTGTTCCATGTCAGCGTGGCATAAAAATGCCTTAAATTTTGTGTAAAGCTCCCATAAGGCCGTATTGTGTCGAGGACCCTTTCTGCCATATATAGGGCTATACAGGCCTCCAGTAGAAGAGACAAATAGGATAGTGATTGAGAGCACGACCCTGTTGCTACTCTGGCTTATTAGGAGTCAGGCAGGGACTTCAAAATGCCAACAGCAGAAAGGTGGCTGTGCGAATCTTCGGTTGCTTATTTGATTCAGAAGACATTTGGAGGCTGAATCTCCAAATCCAAATCGAATCAGGAGACCCATTAATTTCTCCACATTGAATCGGAACCCTCTGATTCGATTTGGAGAGATTCTACAATTCGGACATAGACACATCTTTATATGTTTTTCCTACATACCTCAAGGTACCAGGCGGCTCTTGAATGCTGAGATGGTGAGGGAGATGGAGCATCCTATGGGGAGGAGGGGGGAGGGTCACCTGCACGCTTGGCAGTGGCCCCGGAAGTGATCCACTTCCGGGTCTACCGTGGAGCACGCGGGGGGACCCCCCTCTGCCCCCCGGCTTGGTAACTGGTGCCTCCTGGGTCTGTGGGGGCCCCCTGGGCTCCCCCACAGCTGATCACTGACCGGGGGGAGGACCCAGAAATGGACCAGAAGTACATCTGGTCCACTTCCGGGTTTGCTGTCAAGCGTGCAGGGGGCCCCTCCACGCTCCTGTGGAACGCTCCATCTGCCCCACCATCTCAGCATTCACGAGCCGTGCCCGCTACCTCGAGGTATGTAGAAAAAACATTAAGCTGTATCTATGGCCAAATCACTGATTCTCCAAATCAAAATTGAATCTTCAGATTCGGATTCAGCCATATCAAATCAGGGCAGTGATCTGAATCAACAAATCAAATCACTGTCCCCCGAATTGGAATTGAATACAGCCCACTTTGCACACCCTTAGCTTCTAGCTACATTTTGTCTCCTGTCCTTAGAACAAGAGTGATATAACTTGAGGATTGGGCCATCTTATTCTGGACAGATTTCCTTCTTGCCTTTGCATCAGTCAGGCAGAGGAAACATGGGAAAATTAGAGTTCTATGGCATCGTTGTCCCACCAGCAGTGTTCCCTCTAAACTGCGTGGTATGCGTGGCTGCACAGGTGCGTCTGGCAGCATGGCATGAACACACCTGCACAGTCGCACACACCGTGCAGCTTAGAAGGAATGCTGCACACCAGATACTTGGTTTCAATTATCTTTCAGTTATCAGATAGGTTTCAGCTATCTGGTTTCAGCTTTGCTATCGTTAGTCACTACCATGTAGCTGAACTTCTCCTGATGGTTTGTTTCTTTATGGGTCAACCAAAATACCAATGTGTACATTGGGTAATGGGTCTGTAGTGAACTCAGTGCTTTGTGGACCCCTCATGTTATGTTACTGTGGGGATACTTTCTGTGTTTTGTCTCCAAATATGTCTTGTGAGAAGGTTGACCATGTAAGATGCAGACGTTTGGTTCTGGGACTAGAACCTCCATCCATAGAATTCCCTCCAGGTCTGGCCTCTTCTTGTGAACAAATTGGGAGGTTGCCTAGGGTGGCAGAACTGAGGGGGCAACAGCATTTTAGACCTGATGAGTGGTCAGTGGCTTATGTTTGGTCAGCATGATTAGCTCTGTAAATGCGGGGGAAGGAAGCAGCAATATGTATTATGCCTAGAATGGCAAAATAGGGCCCTGGTTCTGTGGAGGCAGATTAAATTGTTGTCCTTTCTCCATCTTTGTTTGAGTGTAAGAAGGAGCCCCATTTCTCTATGGGTGTGCATCTAGGAACAGAGAAGAATTAAGGCTCTTTTAAAGCATTGTCTGATCCCCTCTGTACTCCAGGAGATGCCTCTCTATAAGAGCACTATGTTGAGTGCCTGAGGTTTGGTGAGAAGATGTGCAGCACAGGGCTAGCCATATTTTCTGGCACTGTGCCCTACTAAATTCCATGCCCATTGCATTTCCTCTACAAAACTAGTGTAGGAGAGAGGAGAATGCACTAGTGAGGCATCAGTGAGACAAGAGCAGAGAGCTCTTGCCTCAGTAACTCTTTGGAGACTTCCTTTCCCACAGATTCTCTAGGTTCTTGGGTCTGGAAAGTCTTTCCCCTGTACAGGTCCCTAAATCCTTTTCCCACAAAGGAATGCCATGCAGTATCCTTCATAGGGGAAACCAGCAGAGCTTTCCTACCTCTCTAGTCCCCTCCTCTGGCTTTCTTTGTAGCACAGGGAAATCTGGTTTTCAATTCTCACTGTATACTGCAAGGCGATGAATTCAGCCTTGATCGGGGATTTATTATACTTTAAATTATAAACAAGATAAGGGCTCATAAAATCACAGAATCTCTCTTTAAGCTTCTATTTTTAGAACACTTTCCAGCATGTTCTCAGGTTATTACCTGGTCAGATAATACTAAGGTCACCTTCTCTTTAACCTGTCTTGGTCACATTAAGCAGCTGCCCATTTAACTGATAACCAGCTTTGTGCACTAAACCAAAAAAAAGTGATTTAATATTATGGATGCCATCACTGAAGAATGCTGTATGATACGTGAGAACACTTCTTTAGCTTCAGTATCTTGGGAATAATAGCTAATTGTAGTTAGTAAAATGGAAAAAAAATACAAATGTCTAATTTACTTGAGTAAACTTGAGTTGTAGGACTGGCAGAGAGATGACTTGGCCTACGTACTGCAAAGATTTGCCACCTTTGCATTTCCAATGAAGGATGTAATTTTTTCCCATAAGATTGATGGAAAACAAGGATAGATGAGCTGAGAGTGAAATCAGGCTAAGGAGACCACAGGTGGTCTGGAAATTGAAAGGAAAAATGAACAAAAACTTTAATACAACTTTAGAAACAGAAAAAGATTCATATCCAATGCATGTTATACTGCAGAACATAAAAGATAACTCCAATCAGATTTCAGGAAGAGGCCTTCAAAATCACTGTAAGCAGTTCAGTGAAATCTGATTTCACAACAGCAAAGAATAAATATGCTGCTTCTCTTATGAGTCTTAACTAATTTTAGAAACAAAACTGAACTTGAGAAGTTTTGTCATCTTTGCAACAAGGTCTCTGTTAGTGGGGGACTTGCTTCTCAAAAGCAAATTTTCTTCATCTTGAAGGATTTCCTTTATCGCCACATATTAACATTCGATCATTTTGAAAAGTTTGGAAAATCAGAGTGGTTTTAGTGATACAGTACATACTTTTCCAGCAATGTAAGTGCTTTTCCAGTGCTGTCTTTGTGTTGAATTAAACTTTTATTCCACATTTGCAGTTGTTTTTTTAAAATGTGCTTATGGGTATACATATGTAGAAAATTAACCTTTCCTCTGCTTTCAGTTGCATGGTGGAATGCTTCGGATATTCCCAGAAGGAAAGTCCTATGTGGCAGATGTTGAGCCCATTTTTGACAGATTACTCTTTTTCTGGTCAGACCGAAGGAACCCACATGAAGTTCAACCTTCCTATGCAACCAGGTAAATAAGATGTTCAGTACTTACATATCCAAGGAAAAGAGCAAAATTATTTACTTTATCAGTAAAACACTTATTCTAGATTAAATATGTATTTAGATTATGTATTCCAGATTAAATGGTAATAGCACGTGCCCAGTGCGGAGAGAATTTTTCCAGTGCAGGTACTACATAAAACAAACTTAGGATGTGGTCACAAGTGGGGACCTTTTCAAAGGGAGAGGTTTCTAAAGGGGAGGATCTAATACAGTGGTCACCAGCTAGTTGATTGGGGAGCCCCTGACAGGTGATCTCAGTCTGAGGGGACTAGCCCCCCCAGACTGAGATCGACTATCAGAGGCTCCACAACCAGGAGCGGCAGAATGCACGTGGGGAGCAACAGGGTATAGGAGCTGTAGGATGCACGTGGCTGGGCTGAGCTGCGCCCCCTGCCGCTGGGGCTGGGCCAGGTGAGTGGGATGATCCCCCTCTGTGTCCCCTGCCACTGGGTGAGTGGGGCCCCTGCTGGGCAGGAGGAGGGTCAAAGCCTGGGCATCTCATCCAGGCACGCAGGGGCTGGGCTTCCACTGCTGCATGCACTCTGGCGGAGGCCCAGGAGGGCACGTGTGCCTCCCCTGATCTGTGTGGGGTGCGGCAGCTGCCAGAATCTGGCAAGGGGCAGCCCCAGAGTCTGGGATACAGCTGCCCCTTCCCCAGTTGGGCTGAGGACAGGACCAGTGCCTGGACCCTAGGCCCCTGCTTAATCTCTGGAGACAGAGGAGAGGGTGCTGTAAACCCCAGATTAGGAGGCATCTCCCTGATCTCACTGTGCCCCTGACCTTTAAAGACCGTGTATGCAGTCCAGCTGTGTAGGCAGTTTTTTGACATCCCTAAAGTCTGGGGACGCTAGGATCAACAAGTTTCCTCCTGACCCTGAGATCAAGTTTCACTTGTAGTTTTCACTCATTAGTGGGCACAGAGGCCTGAGGATTGGGGCGTGGCAGCCCAATCCCAGGGTCTGATGTGTAAAAGCCCTGCAGGTGTGAAGGTTAATGTTCCCAGTGGGAGAAAGTCCTTTGGCTCCCCTCCCAGGAGTCTCTGATCCCCCACACATGGCATCCCAGCCAGAACTGCTCTGCACAGAGTTTTGAGAATCAGCTTCTCATCTGCTTGGTGAGAACCACACTGGGGCCTATTCCAGACCGTGGTTCAGGTCCTGGCCCCAGGTGACAATTAACTCCTAGCTTTCAACATGCTGGTGCAGGGGGAGCCTGGGATTATCCTCCCCCTGTGTGGCAGGACAGTAGGAGGCGCTAATACACTAAGCCACCCATCTCACTGTGCCTGACCAAAACCCCGCTTCAGGTGTCTCCCCTGGGGTGCCTGCATCCGGCCAACCCCCTTCCTGGAGCCCACCAGCAAGCCTGAGGTAATTGTTGCCACCACACAGGCTCTGGTCTCTTTTAGGGCTCTGTGCAGCCTGGGTTACACAGACCCTGCAGACCTTGGGGGTGCTTCACGCGCTGGCAGTATTTCTGGGTGCTCCTTACAGCTTGGAGCCACCCAGGAAGTTTTCAGGTAGGGCAGAATCAGGTAATAATCAGCCAAGTTCTGCTAGGAGCAAAAAGGCCTGTTTCTTCCCCTTCCCTCCCCCCTCCCAGTAAACGTTTACAGCTAGGCATGCTGCAACAGAGAGTTTTTACAGAATGGGCTTGTTGGCCCATTAGCCGCTTGTTAAAAGATGCATAACCCTAATTTACTGGCTAAATTTCAGGTAAACTACTTACATATACATCCATAGAATTCTGAAAGCCTATGCTTCAGTGTAAGCTTCCAAAATGCCTGCTGAAGGAAGCCCCTCAGGTTGGGTGACCTGGCCATTAAATAACTTTGCTGACCTCATCGCCTGGTTCCAACCAGAAACAAGCATCCTCTGAACATTGCTGATGTAAACCAATCCTTTTAAAAGTTGTCAGCAACCCTTGGTGGAAAGACCAGTGCCACAAAACTGGTCATACCAGTTCCTTGGTGGGAAACTTTTAAGACACGGGTTGTTTTAAGGGGTACTTGGGAAGGCCCTAGGGCAGGGGTGCGCAGTTATTTTGGGCAGAGGGCCGCTTACTGAGTTTTGGCAAGCCATTGAGGGCTGCATGACAGGCAGCCCAGGGCAGATAAATATTACTTTTCTAAATTTTTTTAGGGGCCCTGTGGGCTGGATTTGAATGGCCTGGCAGGCTGCATCTGGCCCTCGGGCTGCGTTTTGCACACCCCTGCCCTAGGGGGTACACATGGGCAGGGATGGAGTCTGGCTGTGCACACCCCCCCCCACTCCACAACTTGCCATCAGGGGTACACTTATTAAAACGGTTGAAAACCCCCCTGCCTTAAGACAAAGGATCTGGACACAGTAAGGGGGGGTGGGACGAAGCAAAGCATACAGCCCAAACAAGAAACATAGCAAAACAGGGAGAGGCGGAAGGGATTTCTTCACACCTTGCACTGGTAACTAGGGCGTGATTGGAATCTGATCCCAAAATTATGTCCTGCCAGTCACAGAAGACACTGTCTACTATGTGGATCAGATCCCATCTCACCTTGAAATGAACATCTGCCACTGGCCCCAGAAGCAGCCCAGACAAAGCTGACATAACTTAGAACATCTCCCATAGTGCATAGCCACAGCCCAGAATTGAAAGGCACGAGGGTGGGGTAAAACCATTTTTGTCTTTGCCTTCCTTCAGACAAGACTCTGTAAATATACATTAGAACTTGTGCTGCATCTCTTTCATAATACTATTATATATTATGATACTCTTAATATAATATGTAATATATGGTTACATTTATTATGCAAGTACACACATGCCTGTATAAAGAGCACATCTTTATAGACAAATTCAAAGCATTGTATGCTTAGATTATCAAACACTAATTACATTAGTTCTTTATTTATCTGTTCCTGTTCAACAATAAATAAACCAGTGCATTTAGCTCTCTTGAAAGCCAGAAATTTTAATTTTCTCCTCTTATGGTAAAAATACTGAGGAAAAAGAAGTAATTTCTCTTTCTTTCACAGATATGCCATGACTGTGTGGTATTTTGATGCTGAAGAAAGAGCAGAAGCCAAAAAAAAGTTCAGGAATTTAGCTGGTATGATTCTTTCTTAAATAATCACTGAAACATGGAGCACGTGACCTTGTTTTCCTGTAATTGCCCAGCTAGAGAGGGAACCAGAGCTATTTCGTAGCCAAATGATGAAATGGTGAGACGTGGGTTCTGCTCCTCATTCCCACAATTATTTATCTAATTTGTGGCAAGTGGTGCAGCTTTGATAAGAGAGATGGAGTAGAGTCTACCTTACAGTGTTGTTGTAGATGGTGTGACCATTCTTCAGGAAGAAGTGTTCAAGAGGTGTTCAAATTCCTGATCTAAATTGGATAGATATGAGGTATTTGAGCTTGTCTCCTGCCTTCCAGGGAAATGAGATTTGCTCGCTATTAAAAGTAAAGGGGCATCGACTACCTCTTGGCTCTTCCTTGTGGGAGGAAGATTAGGCAAATTCTGTAGCTCAAAGGATGGAGCAGCAGCTGTAAAGACTCTGATTTGTAGCTTTTTTGTTCCCATCTTTGGGGTGGTGTATTCAATTTCAAAACACAGATTAGTAGGTGCCGTTTTGTTGCTCAAAGATTTATACATTTTTCTGGGCAAGGAGATTCCATTTACCTTATTAATGAAGATCATTCATTATACACTGGTCACGCAAATAGCATTTGTTTTTTACGTGCAAGTTACTTTTAGTGCAGGATGAAAAATCTATATTAGCAATGCGTATGGAATTTGTAGATCATGAAATGGCAAGACATTAGGTGTAAATACATGGAAAATCAAAATACACAAAATGCTCTGAAATGAATTTGTATGATTTTTTGCAAGTGGTGAGCAGCAATCTTTTACCACTATCATAGAGGGGGAGCCATGACTGTGTGGCCAAAGAGAAGAAAAAAGCATCAAGGTCTGGGGTCTATTCCACATTTTGGCATATTGCTTAGATACCACATGAGTGAAATCCTCACCCCACTAAAGTTGATTGCAAAATACCTATCCATAAAATGGTCCATCATGCCAAGTTTACATGAGTTTGTACAATGCTGTAGGGAAACTTAGCTGGGAAATGCTGTATGTGAAAATCACAGAATCATGATATACAACATTATCTCTTCTTATTTTACTCCCAGGTCTCCTGATTGGTGTTGCTTCATTAACTGTTCAAAACCATATAGCCTAACTGGTTTTGTTCCCCCCTCCCCAACTGTTTCATTGCAGATGCAGGGAAGAGAGAAGCAACTCTCAATGAAGACTAAACAGCTGCCTGAACTCTTTTTGCAAGCAATCGAATCCAAAGATGACTTGTTAATTTCCAGTGAACCACTGGACATTCTTACACATAAGAATGCACTGTCTCTGTCTAGCACATACATAATACATCAATGGTACTCCTGGCAGTCTCCAGTCATACCTGCATCTAGCAGAAGGAACCCTTGTTTTCTATTTGCCTTTAACTAAAAAAGTAACTGGGGTTTGAGTAAGAGAAGGATACTGCTAAGCCTAATGTTAGTGAATAAGCCAGCTGGCTTTTGGTAATGCTGGTAATAAAGATGACAAGTATTGGAACCAGTGGGGAAAAACCTGAGTCTTATTTGCACTTTATGTAAATTTTCTAGCTCAATGGGAAGGAGCTTTACAAATTAAAATCTGTGGCAGACTGTAGATGGGCTAGGCAAGATACTGAAAATGTGAAATTAAACTAAGTATTTATAAAGGGTCATCTTTTGTTATGCTAAACGTGGGGCCATTGATGGACTGCTAATCACTTTGCAGCACAAAGCATTGGCTTAACTCTCCTATTTTCTTACTTTCTAAGAAGATAATCATCCACATTGTCATCAAATGGCCTGTATTTTATTCATATTTCAGAAGTTGAACAGCAGCTCTTCAGTTGTTTTGCCTTTGCACAGCACTAGAAATGAGGGGGGAAGTGGTCATGCAGACATCCAATTTTATAAACTGTTCCTTTGTGATCTGAGATGGATCTATGTATTTTTTCCATATATTTTATAAAATGCTGCTTTTCCCCCGAAGATTGGTCAGCTTGGAAGGTCATTGATAGAAATGCCTTAGGCCTAAAAGCCAATATATTTTTTTTTCTACCTTTACACACCCTCTTTTTTGTATGATGGAAGCATGAATCTGAAAGGTAAAGTTATGTTCAGCAGCCAGACAAATGTAAGATATGTAACAACAGCTGGCTGAAGGACTTCAGGAGCCAGATCCACAAGGGTATTTAGGTACTGAAATCAATGGGAGCATAGGCACCTAAATATGATTTTGAAGAATTTGAATGTAGAATTTGAATGTAACAAATCAAGTAGGACAAAAACACTGTTACACCAAGTAATTATTTTCCCTCCTGCATTTGAGCCATAAGGTGTACAAAGAGAGGATTAGGTTTCAATGAACAAACACACATTTTCTTTTCCAAGATAATTTTGTTAAGAGTAGCTTCCAAGTTGTCCTGAGGCAACTTAAACTTCCACAACAGCACTTAATCAGCAGTTCAAGATAGTTTTAACTGTATCTAGAAGAATTTCAGTGGACACACTTACCACATAAATTAGTTGTTTTTGTTTCAAAGTAATTATACACTCAGTATATATAACTTTCTCTCTTCCTTTATATTCAAGATCGTGAGTGTATGTCAGTTACTACCGAGATCTTCCAAGTATATGTTTTTCTCTGCATTCTATATTTCCCACAAGTATAAGAACCCACGATGGCTTTGGTAGAACCTGCCAATTACCCTTCTTCCTTCTGTACTTTAACCATGTCATCAATCATCGATTTGCAGTGGATAGGCTTCCTATTGCCATGTCGTGATTGGCCAGAGGGGGAGCAATTGTCAGTTCATCTTTTGTCTTCCACAAGATTGAGGCACAGAATGAGAGTGACAGTTCGGCAGTGTGTAGCACCAACGTTAAGCTCTTTTGAGGTTATTCAGACTACCTAGCTAGTGACAAAAGGGCAACAGCTATGTAGGATGTAAAGGCATCAAAATGGTAGTAGGAAATGATTATTTCTGAGGAGAGAAATTTTGTATCCCCATGCCTGACATTGAAGACTTAATATAAATATACCATTTTTGGCCAACCCTTTCTACTCACACTCCTGGAGATCTGTGTGTGATTATTAGGGGTCTGCCCAAATCAAGGAGGTAGGCAGCTGATTTTGTGGGCAGATTGCAGGGCTGGCCACCATTTTTGTGAGCTTATTGTGGTGGGGCCCCTCCACACCTCTGGCCAAGTGACTCCACTTCCAATTAGTTGAGGGCTGTCCATCATGCAGCCCCACTCCTTGCTGTTGATTGGTAGAAGGGTGGGACTACATGACAGGCAAACCTCAGCCAATCAGCAGTGAGGAGTGGGGGCCATAGCCATCTTGCCTGCTCACCTTAATGCTGGCAGCCCCCTTCCCCCTTTCTCTTCCTGGCAGGCTGTGCACCCATGAGGACTGCTGGCTCCCACTGAGGAGCCAGCATTTTATTTTTAGTAAGTTGGGGGGGTTGGTTTTTTTTGTTTTTGTTTTTTTTTCCCCACCCTGCAGATTTCATGAACATTGCCTGATTTTTGTGATTTCTGTGAAAACCACAAAATTGTAATTTGAGTAGGCCCCTAGTGATAGTATCTGGAGGGAAGTGAGGATTTCAAAATCATCTTTACAAATAAGACAAAAACCTCAACAAGTCATGTCAATCTTCTGTATTTCCTTTGTGTTAAATGTAATTCTTCCACTATAGTTATATCTAAATAGCACAGACTGATTCTGAAGGAAACTTAATATTAACTTCAAATATTAAATTTTAACTCTGGGTGGGTCAGAATCTTAATTGAAAGTGGTGGGTGACACTTTGAAATTAATTATAGATAAGGTTGAATTCTCAAAATGCAGTGGCAGCAGTGCTAGTCTTTTTAAAATTTTGTTGAGTGTCCCTATGCAATGTCAGTAATATGTTGTATAGTTTAAAATTCTTTAAATCCTTTGAATGCTTTGAGGGGCAAAAGCCTACTAATCAGTTAGTTCTGACAAGTTTCAGAAACCCTAAACTTTAAACAAATGCCCAGTAGGTAGCTCATTAGAAAGTGACGTTAATGCAAATCCTATCTAAAGCTTAGAACAATAGAAAAATATTTTTCTGGTTTTTCTTACAAGTTTGGATAAAAAAGGTACATTTTGTTTCCACTGTCACCACCATATAGCCTAAGCAGTGGTCAGCAGCTTTCCTCTTGTGGTGGGCAATGAAACAGTGTTGCAGTTATTGTAAATGAAGTATGTTTGCAAACTTCTCAGTTTCAGCCTATATCCTCTTGATCTACCTAGAAGCATGAGATTTGATTAATACATGAGGGAGATCAGGTTCTCCATCTGCTAATAAGTGAAAAGAAATATCAAGAAGTTGGGTGCATAGGATTATGAAATGTTGGCCTGAGATTAGTGGGAAGACCACTGCTTTAATTTCCACCCTTCCCCTTCCCCTCCACATACATCATGTAGGAATCCTTGTTCTTGAACTTGCTTCCAGTGTTCATCCCACCTCTTCTTGATGGACTGCTTGCAAACAGCTACACAAGAATCAAGTTCACTTTTAAAAATGATACCAAGAACAGAATGCACCAGTTGCTTCTCTGAACAGGAATTCTAGCAGTTTCCTTCCAGTTTTGGTTTCACATTTCCGTGGCAAAGTGTCTGAAATAGCTATGGCTTAGCAGCATGTGCCATCTGATTGTAAAAACAGATTGTTATTTCTCCAGTGTATTTAATTTGAAGTCCTCCTGAGGCACTGACAGCTTGTTTACACATTTAGGTACTGTGTGTGCCTTCATCATTCATATCCACAGAGCTCATGTACACCAAATGCATGCAATGTGCAAATTTTTCATGGCTCTTTAAAAAAAAAAAATTATAGTTGCCTTTCTAAATGTGACTTCATTTCACACTAGACAGCAGTGGAGCTTATGCAGACCCCACTGAGCCACTATTTTCAACAAGTGGTATTTGTTGTGAGGGGGAAAAAGGAAAAAGGATAAATGTTTTCTTTTAATAAAGTAGTAAAAAGAGAAGGCATAGATGCAGAGATACTATTTGTAATCTTAAACCTGTAACCAGACTTGCTGACCTTCTGAGCGAAGTGGACTCAAATAAAATGTCTTATTCCTTCTATTATTATTTGCTCTATCAGCAAATGACTGCTACAGAATAATGTTAAAAAGATCAGATCTGTTCTTTTTCCCCCCATCTCTGTAAACTATTTTAATCCATTCCTGTTGAATTAAAAGTGGGGTTTTTTCCTCCCAAAGTAGCTGGCTTCAACACCACTTGTTGAGAGGAAAATGTACCTATTTGCAGGCAAATAACTAGTTTTATTTCAACTGTGACATGCTCTCAGCAAATCTCTCTGAGTAGCTTATGGATAAATCTCTTGTCAGATTGTATGCTGGTCAACAATGCTGGCACTTTGGGTTAGACTGGTGTGGAAATGTGATGGTGGTTTACGATACAACACATTTTGTGTTCATGTTTAACTAACGGAAAATATGTAATGAAATGAAAATGTTGCAGGAGTCAATAAACACTGGGTTACGTTAAATTCTGTGCCATGCAAATCTCTTCAGTTTTTTTGTGTCTTACTGAGGAATTAGTGTGTTACATAGCTGAACAGGGGTGTGAAATTTATCTCATTAAGCATAGGTAATTCACAATCAATAATTTTCCACAGATAATTTCAGTTCTTCTGTGGGTCATTGGGCAACTCTGGAAAAGTTGCCATTGGAGAAATCAGTTTTGTTTCCATCCACTTGGCATGTTTCCTTGGCCACTTCCTGCTATTTTTAGGTTGTTCACCTAGCTAACTCCACTCTTCTTGAAGTGCCTATTTGTTTTCACGCTCCTGTTGAGCCAGATAACATTCTCATGATTCAACTATCATCTGATAAGTTTTATTTTTAACAAAGTCCACATCCTTTTCTTACTACTTTTTCCAGATAGTCCCATAGTTTTCTCGTACAGAAGTTTACGCTATGCTTACAATAACATTTTTAATAAATTGACTAAAAGCCAGGACTTTTTCACTGATCAGCTTAACTGCTGTGAACTCTTTTTATTGTTTTGTTTTTAAGCATGTGAATTCTGGGAATTCATTTTTCTAGGCAAAAAACAGGTCACCAGTTTTTGGAGGTGGATGGAGATAAATTTGTTTTGGACAGTAAACTCTACATACGCTAAAGTATGAAGCTCTGACATTTTCCTGTGCCCTGAAGAGTCTTAATTATATGCCTTGGGAGGACCCCTTGAAATCAAAGGGGCTTTGGCTCTGAGTGAGAATGCTTCATTGTGAATAAAGAGAGGCAGTATCAGGCCCTAAACAGAGTTGGCCATTGGCCGTCTAAGTTTTAGTCGTCTTGTCTTCATTTGATCTGACCAAAGTTTTCCTAAACAAACATACTCATCATAAACTGTTATCTTGCAGCTATTTAGGGGTCTTCCAGCCTCTTTTCCCCTGCTCCTTCCCCTTTTCCACCATGCACACACAGGAGTATGGCTAAATATATTCTTAAGAATTCCCATGACTCCAAAGATTAAGTTAAAAATTAAAAAGCAGAAGAAAATTAATAAAAATGAATCGTGTTCTACAATTTCATTTCTATAGGAATATTCCTAATTATTGAGTTAGACATTTGCCTTGCCATTAAGGACTAAAAACTAATAAACTCTTCAGTAGTTGAACTAAAGCTCTTGGTAGCAGTTCCCACAGGCTGTCAATCCTAGTTAATGCCTAGATGTTATTCTGTCCTTTTGCTGGACTCCTACAGAGGTGAATCTTTCTGGGACAGGCAAGAGATAAGAGCCTTGGGTCCTTGATCCTAGCCAAGGGGCCCTTACACACTGGAGTCTGTTTTCTCTAGAGGGGAGTTAGATGAGAGAGTGGATGGCTAGTCCTGGTGCTTTAGTAATACATTGCGTCTGGCTGGATCTTAAATTATAATATATGGGTAGATTGTGATTAAGCATAGAGAGAATGAACCTGCAAAGCAGATTAGTCCCAAACTGAAGGAGCATTTGGCCTTTGAATGCGTCTGAGACTACATGTATTCTTGGTTTTTTTATTCTAAAAATTCTTCCCTTCCTAACTACTGAGCATCTTACAGTAAAACACCTAGGAAGAAGCAAAGTCAGGCATAATATTTGCACTGAGATTATTTTGAGGAAAGAATAAAAATGGCAGATCTCTCTAGAAGAGCCAATGCTCAGAAAATGTGTTCAAACAGCTACTCTGAGACACTTATTACTAGTTAGTAGATGCTTAAAATGTG